TTAAAGGTAACACTAAAGGCTCTGAATGAGGCTTGTCAGAGAAATGAATGCATCGAAGGCTAGATGAACACAATCCAAGTTTCTGGTATAAGCAAACTGGAGGATGGAGTGTCAATTATTGACTGGGGGAAGATATGGAAAGTGATGGATCTGGGGAAGTTAATAACAGGGGCTATTGCTGGCCTTGGCCTCCTGAGTTGACTTGCAGCCGAAGTGAACAGTTCCCAGACACCGACGGCTCTATCTCAAGCCTGCTTGCTTCCTCTAAAACCCTGCCTGGGGATTTCTCTATAGCCCAGGGACTCAGTCAGCAGGGTTGTACTGGGATCTGGCTCCTCCCCTTCCCCGGGAGCCCTCCCCCAGTGAGGGATGGCATGGGAGCTCCTGGGTAAGTAGCCCAGCTGCCCTTTTATGGGCGATTCTGAGAGGCTTACAGGATTCCTCAGAGGATACCACCAGACTTAGCTGCAATGTTCCCCGGTGCTGACCTACTTTCTAAAACACCTTTTCTTCCTTTGCATTTTATTCCCTTTATTTCTTCACAAGTGAGTGAAGACATGATAACCTCCCAGGGAAGCTAGATTGTTTGTTTGTTTTGTTTTTTTGAGACAGGGTTTCTCAGTGTAGCCCTGGCTGTCCTGGAACTCACTCTGTACACCAGGCTGGCCCCAAACTCAGAGATCTGCCTACCTCTGCTTGTAGATGTAATTCTAAACAGTCTTATTAAATAAGAAACACAGAGCCAAATAAAGAGTTAAAAGCCCAGAGATTGAGCAGTAGCCAAGAGCTAAGACCACCTTATCTTACCACTGCCGTCCTTCACCTGAGAGAGACCTTCTTCCTGTGTCCTGTCTTTTTATTGCCTTTCTGTTCTGCCTTCTCATTGGCTCTAAACCCAACCACATGACTTCCTTGTTACTGCCTGTCTATACAGACCTCCAGGTCTCTATGGTTTGTACTGAGATTAAAGGTTCCAGTCATGGCTTGGCTGTGTCCTTGAACACACAGAGACTCTGCCTGCCATGTGATCGGATTAAGGGCATGTGCCACCACCACCAGGACTTCTGCTAAATGGCTTGCTTTTAGCTCTGACCCCCAGGCAACTTTATTTATTAACATACACAAATAAAATATCACCATATCTGCTTCCTGAGTGTTGGGATTAAAGGGTACCACGGCCTGGCCAGCACATACTCTTAGTCACTACTCAAGCTCGTTTTTGTTTTTTGAGACAGAAATTGACGCTATAGCCCAGGCTGTCCTGGAACTCAGAAAGGAAGTTAGGCTCAACTCAATTGAACGATTCTTCTGAAGCCCTGCCTGGGCTGACTCTGACTTGGTGGCTACAAGAACCTGGCTGCTTGATTCCAGTGGATGGTTTAAGATGACCCCTGATAATAGATGGAGACTATGGTCTCAGCTGGCTGCTTTAAGAGACTGCAGATGAGATGCTCATCTACTCCCACAGCCTCTTCCTCTTTCTGGGGTTCTGCACACGCATCAGGGTGGCAATCCAAGGAGTATCGTGAGGCCTAGAGTTAAGTCAGAGCCACTTTTCATCAAAGTCATGGGGGCTAGACCAGATTCAAAGGGTGACACAGAGATCCCACTTCTTCATGGAAGGAAGGCCAAAGTCTCATTGCCAAGGTGTGGGCACACAGAAAGGGAAGAATGCTGAAGCCATTTTGCCATCAATCCAGCCCATCTCTTCCATATCTCCAGACTGCCACTGCTCTCTCTGAGTCGCTGCTTTGGGGGATCCAGACAAAGCTGGGGTGGACGAGGACCAAACCAGCATGAACAAGCGGAGTTTGCGGTGCTTAGTGGAGAAGTCTAGATGGAGGATTCTGTTTTGTTTTGTTTTATGAGACCGTTTCCTGATGCCCATGCTGGCCTTGAATTGCTGAGTCTCCTGCCTGTGCCCCACCCCCCAGTGCTGGGGTTTCGGGGATGCGCCACCATTCCTAGTGAAGTGGAGATCTTGACTCGGCAGGTAGATACACTAGTCCGAAATAAAGAACAGTGGTCTGGGCTGTAGAGTCGCTGAGTGTGTGCATTGACCCGATGGGTCTGCGTGAGCAGGGAAGGAGTGTGTGCAGTGGGAGAAGATGCTGGAAGCCTTAGCCGTGAGCCACCAGGTCCGTGTCAAGAGGTCAGGAGTAGGCCAGAAAAGGACACAGATGAGGCCACTAATAATGTTCTAGGGTGACACTGGACCAAAGAATGAATATTTCCAAGAAGGGCGACAAGCTGTGACAGGGAGGAGCAGTCCATATTCTCTCCATGTAAAGGGACCCACGTCACTGCTGCCAGTATGCCAACACTGTATTGTCACTTCTTTTTTTCCGTCCTTCCTTCCTTCCTCTCTTCCTTTTCTTCTTCTGGTTTTTTGTTTCTTTGTTTGTTTTTGTTTTTGTTTTCCAAAGCAGGGTTTTGCTGTTTATCCCCAGCTGTCCTGAAACTCTGTAGACCAGGCCTCGAACGCAGAAATCTGACTGCCTCTGCCTCCAAAGCACTGGAATTAAAGGTGTGCACCAGCACACCCAGCTAGATTCAACCTTGTTAATATTTGTATTTAAAGGGAACATAAGGGCAGGAGAGATAGCTTAATGGGTAAGAGTACCCATGTAACTTGCTCACAACCACCTGTAACTCTGGACACACAAGTGGCATGTACACATAAATATAAAGAAATAAAATGAGACAAGATCTCACTATGTAGACCAGGCTGACCTGGAATTCACTCTGTAGACCAGGTTGGCCTCGAACTCACAGAGATCCACCTGCCTCTTCCTCCTGAGTGCTGGGATTAAAGGTGTGTGCCACCGTGCCTGGTCAAAGAATTGTGGGGGTGGGGGTGGGGCTGGAGGTGGTGTCGCACGCCTTTAATCCCAGCACTTAGGAGACAGAGGCAGTTAGATCTCTGTGAGTTCGAGGCCAGCCTGGTCTACAGAGTGAGTTCCAGGACAGCCAGGGCTATACAGGGTCTCGAAAAAACAGAACAAACAAATAAAACAAAAGAAAAAAGTGAGACCGTTTCCTGTCTTCCTGGCTCTAAGATATTGGCAGACAGCAGGTGGACCATGTCCTGGCACCAACCCTTCACCAAGATGCCTGAATCACATCCCAAATAAATGCCAGCACTCAAGCCAACCTCAGGGTCAGCTTTGGGAGAGTCCAGGTCAAGACAGGTTCTGAATCCACCCGAAGGTCTGGCTGTCCAGGCTCACAGCTGGCAGCAGGCTCTTCACAGCCACCCTCCCCGTGCTTTGCACAGGGCAGTGTCTGAGTGTGTGATCCCGCCCACCTAAGACGCCCACATCCTGTCCTCGGTTTCAAGTAGTGAGAGAAGAGCCCACAGACAGAAACCTCACCCCCCAGACCTTGTGTGACGTGTGCGACGCACGTGACCGACGTGCCGGGCAATGGAACACAAGCCCCTTTCTTGTGCAGCCTTCTTCCGGTTTTCCTTCCCTACTTCCATTCTCAAGGTGAGGTTCCAACATCATCAAGAGTGGGCTTGCTTAATTCTGTCTCTCTGGGCCTTTGGGGCTTCACTAGCTTGCGTAGCTTCAGGAGGACCGCTAATGCGTCGGCTTCAGTCAGCGGGCTCCCCTGAGGAGAGGAGACACTGCCGCCTCCTCTACATTAATCCCACAACTTTACAAAATCGGACTTCCACAAAAGGATGCGACAATCATCGGAGATAATCTGGGCAGCAATTACATCTGACAAACGGGAGATTCGATTCTTTCAAATAGTCATGGAAAGCAAAATTGCTTTCATGTGAAAAACAACACACACACACACACACACACACACACACACACACACATGACTTGAGCTTTTAGTATCAGTTACTCATAACACCTTCCATTCCCTAGACTCACTTCTAAATAAGAAAGGTCACTCTGCATGAAAGCGGACCGCTCAGAATTAGTCTAAAACTCTCAGGACCGTGAATTCTTTATTTGATTTGGAAGCAGTGCTAAGCCCTCTCCCCAATGTTTAAAGAGCATTGACAAGGACAGTGGCAGAAGAGCGGGGTCGCTTCCGCTGCTGTCACGGCAGATGACTGCTTATTGTAAAGTAACTCCAGAGCCTTCGGCTACAGCCACACAGTCTGTGGTGACTGAGTAGTGATGGCTCCTTTGGAAGAACGACTGCAACATCTGCACCCTGAGGGAGGCTTGGTACCCTGTCATTTCTCACTCCTGAGCCTGTTTTCTCGGGGTGTCTCCACAGTGCTGGATACTTCTTTCTTGGGAACATATCAATTTTAAAAAACTGACAAGTAATTTGATAAAGAGTCTAGTGAATAGTGATGTAAACAAACCAGTGGCTTGATTGGAAATGACACCTAGAGATAAAACATTGGCGTTCTGACATCACTCACAAACGGCCTCTATGGCGAATCTATACATCCAAGCGTCCAGGGGCCACAGCAGCATCCCTGGCAGCTTTAACACCACACGGGATGGACTGCTACTGGGCACCATACACAGTGATTGTCCAGTAAACACTGGTGAAATGAAACCAATAAATGTGTGCATTCGTAATGCAACTTATTGAAAGTACCTGCTGAGGGGCGCTGGCCACCCGAGCCTGTGCCCGCTGAGGGGCGCTGGCCACCCGAGCCTGTGCCTGCTGAGGGGCGCTGGCCCTTCTCCCCATCCCCTCTGTCTTGCTAAAAAGTGTTGGATGACATTCCTAAAGCTGGCCACCAAGGTCCATTCCCTTATTTGGCCAATCTCTTCTCCTGAAGTCGACTGCCAAGGTCTGGCTATCAAAGTATTGAAGTCCAGCAATCAAAAGCTCCCTTTGGCTGCCCTAATTAACATACCTAATCAAAACTAAACACCCTCATCCTAACATGGGGGCTTCCCCTTTTACCTTCATAAACCGCCATTTGCCTATGGGTCATGTCTCCTCTCTATCCAGAGGCTGTCCTTTGTCCCTCTGGGACAAATCCCCCTGCCCCCTTCCCCTTCTCCCTCATCCTCTGTCTCCTGTCTTTGTCTCTTATCTCCTGCCCTCTGTCCCTCTGGGGCAAATGGATCTCCTTTGTGCTGAGGACTTGACCTTGCGGGTCTGAGCAGGTCCTTTCACCTGCCCCTCAGCTGAACCATACACTGGAAACAGTGATTAAAAAACTGTTCCCACCGCGGCTCCTGTTGCCACCGAGGGCTGTTCGGATGTCTGGGGCCTGGACCATGACCATGACCTGAGCCCATGGTGGTGTCCAAGGGCCACGCTGGTCTGGATGGCCTGTGTTACCACAGGGGCCATAGTGACCTCCGGGCCCAAGCTGCTGCAGAGGGCAGTGTCTGGGTCTGTGTTCCTGCTGAACTGGGGTCTGTGGTGATGTCCGTGGCCGGTGTTGCCACAGGGGATCGAAGGGACCAGGCATGTTGAAATCCAAAGGCCGTGTGAGCCAGGGTTGCGCTCGTTGTCCCTGAGATGGCTGGCCCTGTCCCTCACTGGACACTGCAGCTGGAGAGCTGGCCCTGCCCCCATGGGAGAACTGTCTCCTGTTCTTTTCCCCCCACCGGACCCTGCACTCCAGATGGCCCCATCCCTCACCACAGGCATGATGGCGTGGGCCTCGGAGAGCTGGCTCTCCCCATCACCGGAGAGGATGGTCCCAGCGGCCCAGACCAATTAGCTCAGCTGCCACCCAGACCCACATCCTGGGTCTACCCCATCTGTGACCTGCTGGAGCTCATGAAGGGACTGGTCCTGTGGAATGACAGCTGCGGGATCTCCATGACTCGGAGCAATGGCAGGATATCCGTGAGCAGTTTCCATGAGGGTCCAGAGGTGATGGAGTGCCAGAGGCCTTGAACCAGACCGATGACTCATTGCGATGAACATTTTGTGGGTGTGGCTGATTGGACAAAAGAGTGTACTTCATGACACACCGCAGCTCCGGATGCCGCTAGGATGAATGAAGAGGTGCTGGAAAGATGGAGGAGCCAGGTGGGCTTTTTGTTTTTAATTTTTTTTTTTTGAGGGAGAGAAGGGAGAGATGAACCCCTTTTAATGACACACACCAGGAGCGACTGGGAAGGATGAAAAGAAAATGCTGGGCCGACCCTTGAGTGGTCCCATGAACTTAGGAACGTTTGGAGTCCCAAGACAACTGAAGGGTTTCTGAGCAAGGTCACTGGAGCTGTGAGTGCTGGAGGTGGAGAGAGTCTGAGGGTGAGGAGGGAGTTACAGGCAGACAGCATGCTTACCTGCTCCAGAGCTTAGAGAGCAGGAATCGGCAAAGAAGGAAATCCCCCGGTAACGTTCTCCTAACACAATTGGGTACTTCTCTGGGAGCCACAGCAGCGACCTGGGGGGAAGGAGTTTTCAGGTTGCCTGTTTATATACCCCTCACCCTGCGCCTCGAGTCCACACCGGATGTAGCCACGTCAAAGGCCTTGCCTGGGCTGTCAGTGGAAGCGGATTCTAGAGCAGAGGCTCGCTCGGCTTCCGCCCCACCCCGCCCACCTCCATCCCCAGTCTGATAGGTGCAGACTCCAAGATATATCACAGCCTCCGCAAGGTCACAAAAGCCACTTCTCCCCAGTCCACATGGCACCGCATTCGCCCGCCCTCGGCAGCAGGAGGGGAGTCGCTCCTCCGATTTCCATGGTTGCAGAACAGGTTTGACTCCTTAGGGAAGCGTTCATCTGCACTTGTTTTTATGTCCAGCAGGTGGCGGTAAGTAAGTGCCCAAAATGGCAGAGAACGCCTCTCCTCCAGAGGCCTCAGAAGGGAAAGAATATTTAACGATTTTAATTAAATGCCAACCTTTAAAATATTTAAATTTTGTTTAAATCATCATAAAATGAGAGTCGTAAAAAAGCTCCTAAAGCTTCAAACAATTAAGACAGAAGTAGATATCCTAATTTTTAAAATAAAAATAAAATCCTTAATTAAGCAGGGTGTTTGATTTTTTTTTTTTATATTAGAAGTTGATGCCACTGATAGGGCCAATGGTGAAACAGACCAAATAGTCTTCAGAGGATCCCAGGAGACAACTGTAGGGCACCAGGACGACGACCCATCTGAAACCAAGGGTCTCCCATTTCTCCCAAGGCCAGCTTGTCAGAGCCCAGGTGGGTTCTCCCAGGCAGTAGGAGAGGCTGTGCCATACGTGGAGGCCAGGCACAGGCCACTGGTTTTCTTGGCACCTAAGTCCAGACACCCCGACACAGCAGTGTGTGTGGACACTGTGGACAGGGGTGGTTAAGCCCTGGTCTTACCTGACACAGTGGTGTGTGTGGACACGGTAGACAGGGATGGTTAAGCCCTGGTCTTGAGTCTGTTTTCTAATAAAAGTGCAAGGAAGATTTTTTGCTGGAATGCTCACGTATGATGTGTCCATCGATGGCAGGATGTCTCCTCTGCCTTCTCTTGCAGACCCTCGGCTTGTATGTTTGAGCAGTCTGTCCTCAAACGGCACTGGGTATTTGCCTGAGCCCACGGCAGGAAAAATAGGTTTAGAGTTTGCTCAAGGCTAGTGTCATGCTTTCACACTGGAACCTCTCTTGGGATGAAAACTGTATAGGATGAAACAAGCATCCTCCAGTAGCAGGAGTACAGAGAAAACCCGTGGCCGTTTTCTTGTGGAATGTCATTGGATTTGATACAAGAGCTACAGAACAGAGAGAGTTACAAACACCAGTGTCTTCAGACACACACCAGTGCCTCCTGAACCGTCCACCTCCATGGTGAAGGAGCTGGGCAGCCTGTCAGCAGATCCTCCCTTGCGTGTGATTAAGGTTGGGTTGTTAGGAACTACGAGGACTCAACTTATCTTTTAGTCACCCAAGGGGCTAAATTTCATAAATTTTCACTGATAATCCTAGCATCTAAAAATAATACAAAATCTTTTTTTGTTTGTTTGTTGGCAGGCCTGAATAAACTATGGAGACTAGGCTGGCCTTGAACTCACAGACTAAATCATTAATATTTTTGTATTAAAAAAAATCTAAATATAGCTGGGTGGTGGTGGCAGTGCACACTTTTAATTCCAGCACTTGGGAGGCAGAGGCAGGTAGATCTTTGAGTTCAAGGCCAGCCTGGTCTACATAGTAAGTTCCAGGACAGCCAGGGCTACTAAAGAAGCCCTGTCTCCCAACAAACAAAAACAAAACAAAACAAAAAAAAAAAACCAAAAACAAACAAACAAATAAACCAACATAAATGTAATATATAATGTGACACCATGCTCAAACTCAGGTCCTCTGGAAGAGCAGCCAGTGCTCCTAACCACTGAGCCATCTTTCCAGCTCTGATTTTTTTTTTGTGCACCATTTAAAATTTTTTTAAAATTTTATTTATTTTATTTTACAATACCATTCAGTTCTACATATCAGCCTCGGGTTCCCCTATTCTCCCCCCTCCCACCCTCTCCCCTTATCCCCAGCCCACCCCCCATTCCCACCTCCTCCAGGGCAAAGCCTCCCCTGAGGACTGCAATCAACTTGGTAGACTCAGTCCAAGGCAGGTCCAGTCCCCTCCTCCCAGACTGAGCCAAGCGTCCCTGCATAAGCTCCAGGTTTCAAAACAGCTAACTCATGCAATAAGCACAGGACCTGGTACCACTGCCTAGATGCCTCCCAAACTGATCAAGCCAATCAACTGTCTCACCCATTCAGAGGGCCTGATCCACCAGCTCTGATTTTTGAAATGGGGTTTCACTATGCACCCCGGGCTTGTTTGGAACTCATGATCCTTCTGCCACAGCTTCCCAAGTGCTGGGATCACTGGCATGTTCCTCCATGCCTGTCACCCACCTATTCTTTTAACAAATGCTGTATTTATGGGTATTTGCATTGTTTTCAATATTGTGCCATTACCTACAATGCCCTTATTACGATCAGTCTATGAGGGTCTATTAAATGGAAAACAGAATTTATTAAGATATAAACTGAGGAAATACAGTCATGAATACAGAACTGAGTAGATAGCTGAAAGTTGTCCTCTGATCGGACCGGGAGCGAATCCACCTCTAAGGCAGGAGCAGGGAGCAGGGAGCAGGGGCATGTGACCCTTCCCCCTTCTCTTATAAGAAGTCACCTACAACGGCAGGAAGCGCCGCCTCCTTCGGGGCCCTATAGCCAAGGTCATGGGTGGAGCAAATACCACTACAGGCCGAACTAAACATACTATACATATGTCTCTGTACCCTTGAGTGGTTATTTCATATTGATTATTTGAACAGTAAAAGTAGAGGTAAAAATTGGTGGATCAAATAGTATGCTTAGATTTTTAAAAATAATTTATTTTTATTTTATGTGCATTGGTGTTTTGTCTATACGTATGACTGTGTGAGGGTGTCAGATCCTGGAGTTACAAACAGTTGTGAATTGTCATGTGGGTGTTCGGAATTGAACCTTGGTTCTCTGGAAGAGCAGCCAATGTTCTTAACCTCTGAGCCATCTCTCCAGCCCCTAAGTGCTTACATTTTGACAAGCATTGCCAAGTAGTCCCCTGAGGAGGTCAGACCACTCTCTGCTCTTATATAAACACTCTTGAGGGTAAGAACCTTTTTAGACTTCTGTCAAGTTGGCACCCTTCTCTAAATGAAATCCTCTTCAGAATATAAACGTAAAGCAAAAAGGGAGCTTTGTTGTAGTGGAATCTGGTACAGGGTGGGACACCATTAGCTTGGCCCATGTGGCACTTCCCTTAACCTCTGTGGCATCTTCAATGTAGCTTCCTGGAGCACAATTCAATATAGGCAGTTCCCTTTTTTTTCCTAACATAATGTACTCTTAAGTATATTTGACTGGTAGGGCAGTGGTGGCATACACCTTTGATCCCAGCACTTTGGAGGCAGAGACAGGCAGTTCTGTGAGTTCGAGGCCAGCCTGGTCTACAGAGTGAGTTCCAGGACAGCCAGAGCTACACAGAGAAACACTATCTCAAGAAAAACAAAAACAAAAACAAACAAACAAACCAAATCAAACCAAAAATTATTGTGAAATTTCCAAGTACATCTCTATTTCAGTCACAGTTTTCAGGAATTTAGTCCTAGCACTTTATTTTTAAAATTTAATTAATTGATTTATATTTATGCTTTTGTGTATTTTGTTTGCATGTATGTTTGTGTACCATATGTGTGCCTGGTGTGAGAAGAGGGCCTTGGATCCTGTAATTGGCCTTTCTTTGGACCGCCAGTTTCCAAATAATAACATGGAGATTTCTTATTAAGTATGAAAGCTTGGCCTTAGCTTACATTCATTCCCAACTATGTCTTTTTTAAAATTTATCTATTTTTATTTTATGCACATTGGTATTTTGCATATGCATCTGTGGAGGATGTCAGATCATCTGGAACTGGAGTTACAGACAGTTATGAGCTGCCAGGTGGATGCTGGGAATTGAACCTGGGTCCTCCGGAAGAGCAGCCAGTGCTCCTAACCACTGATCCATCTCTCCAGCCCTCCCCCAACTATTATAACTTAAACTAACCTGTTTTTATTTGTAGCAGGGTTCTTTGCTGTTGCTCCCTTTGGGGGTGGGGGCCAAGTAGGCGCAGAGTCAAACCACACAGACTCCGGGAGAATGTCGAAACAAGCAGCTCAGTTTATTCAGGAAGAGGCAAGCCTTATATACCCTCCACCCCACCCTGGGGGCAGGTCTGATGAATATGCATCAGCCGGTGTGACATAGCTGCCTCTCATTGGTCCAGGTCATCTCCAGATCATGTTTCAGCTGCTGTTACTAAGACCCTTAGGCAGACCCAGGCTGGCTCTCAGAAAGTATCTTTTTTACTTGTTTGGGCCTTCTGGCTCTCAAGTGGGTTAGGGATGAGTCACCCCACATATATTGATCTAGATTCTGCCGCATAGCTTGTTTCCTCTCCTCCACACTGTCTGTCCAACTTGCTCCACGTCTCCCTTGCTTACACCCCGCCTGCCTCAGATTCTTCCAGAGTTCCTCTCCCTGGAAATCCTGCCCAGTCTCCTGCCTCCTGTTGGCCGTTCAGCTCTGGATTAAACCAACCAGAAGGAGCCTTCGGCAGAGACACATCTTCATAGTGCGCAAAAAAAGCATCCCACAACAGGATTTCCTGGAATTGAATTGGAAATACAGAGGGTTGTGAGCTGCCACATGGGTGCTGGGAACTGAACCCAGGTCCCCTGGAAGGGCAGCCAGTGCTCTTAACTGCTGAGCCGTCTCTCCAGCCTTGTCAAGCACTTTAGATGTGTTGTTTCATTGGTTTCTTTTCACTTCTAATAAGCTGACTGTGGCTGAATTCTGTCCCTCTCGGGCAGCTGACTGCAGAAAGAGGAAATCTGTATCAATAGTGCCAGTACCTTCACTTCGTCCCCTCACTGTTATGAGAAAGGGGCAAAGTACAACAAAACATTTAAACCATCAACAAAAATAGCGAATGCCACCAAATGCCGCCAAAAACAGAACCTCAGAGCTTCGCTCTCTCACCTTACTATGTTTAAAAACATTTCCTTAGTGTGTATATGTGTGTCTGAGTGTGAGAGCATGGCATCAAGTGTGTGAAATGCCAGTGGAGGTCAGAAGAGGGCATCAGATCCCCTAAAACTGGAGTTAAAGGTGGCTGTAGGTCACCATATGGGAGCTGGGAACTGAACCCGGGTTTTCTGCAAGAGCAGCCAGTGCTCTTAGTCACTGGGCCATGACTCTAACAACCACACTTTAAACCATTGATGCAGTAGCTAATACAAGCCTGAACTGGAGGAGAGGAGGCTGTTATGTGACTATGTATATAGATACAAGGGCACATATACCATGGTGACACATTCCTTTAATCTCAAGAACTTGGCCTGCGGGTGCAGGAGGAGTTCAAGACTGGCCTGGGCTGCCCAGCAAGACCAGTCTAAAAAAGAGGTGTGTGAAAGTAGACAAAATTAGAAGCCTACCTACATACAGCATTGCAGCTGACGACTCCGTCCAGTGGTTTACTGGTGCTCAGTCATTGTATCAGACGTTAACAGGTCTTTCTCCACCCTCCAAGGTAAACAATCAAAGCAGAATGCATGAGTTAAAAAATACATAAGCCGGATGGTAGTAGCACACACCCTTCATCCCAGCACTTGAGAGGCAGAGGTAGGCGGATCTCCAAGTTTGATGCCAGCCTGGTCTACAGATCCAATTCCAGGACAGCCAGGGATACACAGAGTAACTCTGTCTTGAAAAACAAACAAACAAACAACCCTCAAACATAAATAATAATTTGTACTAACAAATCTCAGAATCCTGATACCCTTCACAGGGTCTCATATACGTAAGCTGCATTAAGATTTCTCTGGATGGAGGCCTCTGATTATCAATGCTCCAGGAGACAGTGAGTCTCTCTCCACCATTATCCTGTTTTTGGGGTTTTTTTTTTTTGTTCTGTTTTGTTTTCACACTGAAATCAATCAAGGCTGATTTCAAGGTTGCATCACGTAGGCATAATTAGACTTATTATTTTGAGCCAATCAGGCATATAGTTCCTCTTTTTGTTATAGTGTAACGCTTCTTAGAAGCACCCAGAGACCCTGGTTCTTACAGACAAGAGCAGAACACAGACAACGACCTAGAGGAGCAGACCTTTGGCCTCAATCAGAAGCTCATTGTGAAGGAGGAAAACTGGAATAGAAAAACACACAAAAGAGACTAGAATGTTTTATGCACTGATCCAACAAATGCACAATGCCCCATGAAGCTGAATGCTATCTGCTACAGGGGTAAAAATGCACCAGCCACCGTGAGTACCCCAAGTTTATCAGCTCACTGGGGAAGCAAGGCCTACCCACCAAGAAACTTCTTGACAATGTAAACATGACTAAAATGTGGCATGCGTTACCCAGATTACAATTGCTTCAGAAGTTCAATCCCTCAGCTCAACCTGTCTTGTGCCCTACTGTCTGGTCTAGGTGTTTCACGCAGTCAGTCACGTGCCCCGCTGTCCTGGGGTCTCACGCAGTCTGTCACATGCCCCGCTGTCCCGGGGTCTCACGCAGCCACTCCCACGCTGGCATCAGAATCCTGTTGTTCTCCTTTCCTATCTGACCGGAGAGCTCTTCTTCCCAGTGCTGGGCAAGGGCCACGGTCTGCCTTCTCAGCTTCCTCTCCCAGGGCGCTAAGGACTCTGCTCAAGACAGCGCGAGTTTCCCTGACTTGACTCTGCCAGACTTTCTGTGTAATACCTCACAGGAGCTCTCCCATCTTCCTGCTTACCTGGAGTCTCTATCTCAGCGGAGCCTTACTGCCCAGTCTCGGGGCGGATCCCTGCTGCCGGATTCCCTCCATTGCTGGAGGAGGCAGAACGTCTGCTGTCTACGCGCATCCGAAACTTCCTGATTCCCTTCTTCCCTTCCAGAACGAAGTCATCTGCCGGCCGCCGCCGATCCTCTCCCTTCACATTGCACCAATTCTGTGTATTTCTGCATAACAAACACCACAAGGCTGATCAGATTAAAGCACCCTTATTACCCCAGTTTCCTCACGGTCTGGATTATGAGATCTGTTCAGACCGGGAAGTGCCGACTTCGACTCTCCCGACCAACACTGTAGCTATCCGGAGGCCTGAGGGGGCTGGAGAACCCGTGTGCAAGGTTGAATATCCTCACAATAGGACAGCCGGTGTCCCCCAGAGCAAGAACACTGCGTGTGCAAACAGGAAGTCCAGCGCCTCTTAAGACCCACTCTCAGAGGTACTCCCCACCACCATTGCCTATTCTGTTTTCTAGAAGGAACTGACTAGCCCCACACTGATAGGGGTATCATTAGTTTACATCTGTTAAAAAAAAGAACCATATATTTTTGTGGATACACACACACACACACACACGCACGCACGCACGCACGCACGCACGCACGCACATACGCGCATTGTTTTTGGAAATAGGGTTTCATTGTGTAGCCCTGGCTGTCCCAGAACTCACTCTGTAGACCAGGCTGGCCTCAGACTCACAGAGATCCTCCTGCCTCTGCCTCCCAAGTGCTGGGATTAAAGGTGTGTGCCACCACGACTGCCTATGGACATATTTTAAAACCCCCACATTTCTCAAAGCAATTTTTCAAGGCTACTGGTCTTTCAAGCTACATCTCTGCTCTCTTCCTACTTCCAGGACCACGTTTCTCAAAACAGTGATCTAAAAGGCCCTTCCCTGCATTCTTAGCACTTATCATTCAGCAACTGAGAGCTCGAACTGAACACAGCTGCTTCGGAGAATACATCCAAGTGGGTACAGTGGCCAGGCAGTGGCACACGCCTTTAATCCCAGCACTCGGGAGGCAGAGCCAGACGGATCTCTGTAAATTGAAGGCCAGTCTGGTCTACAGAGAGAGTTCCAGGACCGGCTCCAAAGCTACACAGAGAAACAAAACAAAACAACAACAAGAACCCCAAGTGGGTACAGTGTTCTCTGCTGCACACCCCTAGCCACAGCCCAGCTTGTCATCTCCCATAGTTCTCTCCACGCCTCAGCCAACAGAATTTACCATTCTGCAAGTATGACTCCAGCTTTCTTGCCTGCCTCTGAGCCGCTGCTTAGACGCCTGGCCTCACCAGGTCAGGGTCTTCTCACCTTCTCATTTGCCAACCCTGTTCAACCCCGGAACCCCTCGGTTTTCCCTCCTCTCTCGCGGCCGTCGGCTTTACTGTTGCAGCCTGCTTTTCATCGTGGGCCTGGCGTACATCTCTATATTTCTTTCCACATCCCAACAGACTAAGTCCTTAATCTTTTTTGACTGAATAAATTTACCTAAATGATTAAAATTTAATTTTGCTTTCATCAAAAGGCAAATTAAAGTCCCTGTAATCTCCAATTCTATTAAATTAATACATTGAGCTAAGGGGAATTGCAGAATGGTCTTTGCTTTAGAAGAATACAGATTTCTTTTCTATTATTTGAACAATTTTAATGGAATGATTAAAATTAAATCATGGTTATTCACCAAAAGGGTATGCTTCTGAGGTATGTGTGCATATAATAAGTATTCTTGCAATTCCTGGTCAACATGAAATTTCCATGGAAACAGATCTCACACACTGGAGAAGAAAGGAATTAGATTGTGTTTGAACTGCATTTTGTCATCTCCATGGAGCTACTAGCGAGTTCAGGGAAACTGTAATTTAATACCACCCAAATAAGGACATAGTATCTAATGCTTTTTAAAATGGCAGAATCTGCTATTAATTTAAATTTTTTATTAATGTGGTGGCAATATAAAAGGAACTTTTAATATTTCTTGGCTCACGCTCTAATTTCAGTAAGTACAATACCTTTTGTCTCTTTGCCAGTGCAGAAAAAGAAAAGAAATGAAAAGTTCAGTGCAGAAAGGATGGTATTGCTATATTTAGCTACAGGTAAAGTCATTTGTTCTGGATGTCAATCAACTTTTTTTTTTAAATTTTTACTTATTTTTTTAGATGAAGTCTTACTATGCAGCCCTGGCTAGCCTGGGACTCACTGTGTAGGCTATGTTCAAGGCTGGCCATGAACTCAAAGCAATCCACCAGCCTCTGGCTCCAGAGTGCTGGGATTAAAGGAATGTGCCACCATGCCTAGTCAATATTTATTTTAAAAAATATCTCCAGTCTTGCAATGAGATGCCAAGTAATTTTGATTCCTGATATCATTAACCAAACAAAGACCATTTAAAAAGCATGTCTAAAAAATCTTTTTCACTGACTAACAGTACAGTGAATCTTTTTGTGAGCACTGTAAAATATACTCAGGTTCTGAAAATCATTAGAAAACCTGTAGGCAGCTGAGAGGTGGTGGTGCACGCCTTTAATCCCAGCACTCAGGAGGCAGAGGCAGGCAGATCTCGGTGAGTTCAAGGCCAGCCTGGGCTACAGAGCGAGTTCCAGGACAGGCTCCAAAGCTACACAGAGAAACCCTGTCTCGAAAAAACCAAAAAGAAGAAGAAGAAGAAGAAGAAGAAGAAGAAGAAGAAGAAGAAGAAGAAGAAGAAGAAGAAGAAGAAGAAAGAAAACCTGTATGCTGAGAATTCTCCTCTCTATTTGTCTTTGGAATATTAATCTACCTTTATAGAGAAATGTTCAAGAGCCATCATAAGAACCACTGGATTTTGATGTATTACATATCAGTTGTGGACTTTCATTTTTACATATCAAGGCTGGACATGATGGCACATGACTTTAATCTTAGCGTTCAGAAGGAAGAGGCAGGTAAATTACTGTGAGTTCCAGACCAGCCTGGTCTACATAGAAAATCCCATGCCAGCCAGGGCTACATAGTGAGGAATCCCCAAAACCTGTCTCAAAACAACAAAAATCAACAACAACAACAAAAAACAAATAAATAAAAACAAGCCAATATATCAGACAAAAGGAAAGTAGTTATAAAATCCACACACCTTTCACTAAAGGCGCACAGACTCCTAAGTACAAGCGGGCTCGTCTCACACTGCTTGCCTCACAGTCATAATCAGTGCTTGATTGTAGTCTGTTTTGTTTGGTTTTGTTTTTTCAAGACAGGGTTTCTCTGTGTAAGAGCTCTGACTGTCCAGAAACTCAATTTGCAGACCAGGCTGGCCTAGAACTGACAGAGATCTGCCTGCCTCTCCCTCCCAAGAGCTGGAATTAAAGGTGTGGGATACCATCACCCAGTGGTGGCAGCAGCGAGGGCTTCTTCTTCTTTCTCCCTCTCCCACTGCCTCTCCCTCTTTTGGTGAAAGCTGAGACCTTTATGCTGAGATCAGTGGCTTCAGAAAGCTGCCCTCAGGCGCCCTCTCCCCATGTACACCTCTTTGCACACCACGCGCAGCAGGAGACCCTCACTAGACATCAGCATCTTCATGGTGGACTTCTCAGAGTCTTCACTGTAAGAAACACATCTCTAAACTTCATAAATTACCCACTTGGTGGTATTCATTTTTAGTAACAAAAAATGGACTAAGAAACATTTATTAGCAGGAAATAAATGAATCAGGAGTATGCCACCTCCTCTATAAGTCAATTCTCTATGCCAAAACTCACTTGCACAAAAGAATCACACCCTTACTCTGCCCGTGGCAAAAACTGGGAAGGGTTTTCTTTCTCTGTCATACATGACAAAAGACATCCATGAGACAGCCACAGGGGACTGAACTTTTGTAACAAACTCACTGTCTTGATAATGAGTCCACACACACACACACCCCAAATAACCAGTCTTCAATCTAATCACTTAAAAATGTTTGTTCTTGTGCTGCAGGCTGTGCCTGGCTCCTTCATGCACTACCATTGAGCTATCTCCATAGCCCTCAAATCACCTCTAAAATTCTCCTCTCTCAGTATTTTGGCACTGACTTCTAATAGATGAATTGTGGGGAACACATTCAACACCAGCCGGAGGGTTGCCTCCATGCTCCGCCTCTTTCTCTAGTCAGGGAAGAGCTGCCTCCAGGACTATGACTCTGTTTGCACTTGGGATGTTTTGGGCTCCCTGTACACTCAGCTGTTTACCTGGCAGCAATATCCTACAGGAATGAGAGCTCGGCGTGCGGACTTTGTCCCGGTTACTCCTGTCTCAGCCGCCCTTGTCTGGCTCTGGCTGGAGCAGCACGCAGCTCAGAAGCTTGAGATGTTTAAGCACTGACCTTCTCACGGGCTGTGGGATTTGGTGGGGGGTGGGGGTGTTCCAGGAGCTAGGGACTGGATAGAGAGGTGCACTTCTCTGCTCCTCCTCCGTGTCACTCAGCCGATCATTCATGTACGTTGATTCTCCTAGAATTTCTATAAGGAGAACCAGCCGCTCGCGGAAGGGTCTGCCCAGGGACCGCTAGAGCTTGTGCGTGCTGAGCACACTCTGATACTGAGCAGTATGTAAGACTGTGTGTGATTCAACAGACAACAGACCCAAGGTCCAAAAGAAGAGTGAGCCTAAAATCCAAAATGTGACAGAGGTAAAAATGAGTAAAAAATACTCAGGCCTGTGCATGCTCTTTAATTAAGCCAATGAGCCTCTTACATCCCTAAAGAATCCGTTACTTTTGGATTCACCCCCCAGCCTTCTCCGTCCTCCTCTGTCCTAAGGTGGGTCCACAGGGACTGTGTAAGTGCCCACCCCACCTGCACACTATCTTTTTTTTTTCTTGCAAGTGCAGTCCTGGAAAGAAATTGGAAAGGAAATGAGGAAGGAGTATTTATTTCTCTGGCTCTCTCCTTGCCACATAGCCGTAAGCTGGTTCTTTCCCTGCCAAAAGCTATTGTCCACTTGGTGGCTTCCAGAACGCAGTTCTCTTTAGTGTTTAGCCCTTTGAAGTTGAAGGTTGAGAAAAACTCCGCCCCTCTTCAGGTTGTATGAACTACTTCTTTAAATAAACAGCCCCACCACTGGACTTTCCTCAAGTACCTACTTTGAGGGGAGGGTTTCCTGGATGCTGGCAGGTACGGATGGTATTGACTTTCTATAAGAAATCCTAGAAACATGTTTCTTGTGTGTCACAACTCAGCTATACAGTAGAAGTCATACCACAGAGGCAGGGTTTTCTTTACAATCAACCTTCTCAGTCTCCCAGCACCCCGTACACCTCAAACTCATCGTGGAGGCAAACTGCCTCCTCCCTGCCCTTCCTCTCATCCTGGAGAGGACCGGAGACTGCAGGCACACTCGGGACCAGTGTGTCTGACTACCAGAAGTTCGGGTGGATGGGTTTTCAGCCCCACCTCCCTGCTCTCCACGCCTCTTCCATGGGCTCTTGCAGTGGGATTCCGGACTTTTACAGCCAAGGTTACACTCATGGTCGGTACATGGAAAGGGGTGGAGAGTGCAGAGTTAACATGGATGGTGCATCTAAGTAACCAGCACAAGTCATTTGCCGAGGCTTTTAATCACCCCACATAAACTTGAACACAGTGTTTTCAGAACTAAAAGCCTCAGGGTTAATCCTGAAAACAAAAAAGAATATCATTTGATAATCTTCAGACTCTAGCAAAGACTCTATCAAGAGATTATTTTAATTGTTCAAAATTAAGAATTAAAATCATGGAGTTAATAAATACACGTTGTGAGCATGCACTGTCTACCAGTCATTTAAAATATTTAATTCTAAAAACTCTGAATATTTGGTATTTTACTGATGGCCGAGACTGAGCAAGGCTAACTGCCTCAGGACACACCTGAGGAACTGGAATTTGAATGCAGGCTTGTTTTAAAAGCTCACATTATACTGATATATCTGTATGATGGAATACTGGGAAGCCTTTTGGACAACAAATTTGATGAGTATCAATATAGAGTAAAATGTTCATTAAAATGTAAATGCAGTATAATATTAAACATACTATTTGGATAAGAAAACAGAGAAAAACTACCTGACAATGTAGTCAAAAGATTTCCTGTGTCCTGCCCAGCCCATGGTCAGGACAAATCTCTCTCACCCGAAGCCTCTTATAAAATAATCACTCAGAGGCTTAGTATTAATTACAAACTGTATGGCCTATGGCTAAGGATTCTTGCTAGCTAGCTCTCTCATCTTAAATTAACCCAGTTCTATTAATGTATGTATTGCCACATGGTCGTGGCATTACCAGTCTGCTGGCATGTTGCTCCTTGGGTGGCAGGCTGGCAGCCTCTGGTCTCCTCTGCCTCTGCTTTTCTTCTTCCTGTCTCTTTCTTAGATTTCCTGCCTGGCTATAACCTGATTTGCCATAGGCCAGAGCAGCTTTATTTATTAATAAAGCAGAGCTTCTTTATTAACCAACCATAGCAACACATATTCACAGTGCACAGAAAGACATCCCACAGCACTTCCCCTTTTCTGTCTACTCAAAAAGGAAGGTTAACTTTAGCATAGTGAAATTATATATAACAAAACAGTTATCAAGCAAGAATTACAGTTACAGTATCTAGTCTATTTGTATTTGGCAAAATTAAGGAAAATATTTTATCATCTATCCTATATTTGTGAGTCTAAAGTTTCATATCTAATTTATCTTTTATCATAACCAAGGAAAATTATAACTATCTAGTCTTCTACTACATCAAAGACCCCAGAAGGATATAATATTACCTAAGTAAACAGGAAGTACATGGCAAGCAACTTCCATAACTCTAGAAATGACAGAAACATCTGGCTGCCTGGACAGTCACCCAAAGTTCCTCTGCAGTGTTGGGGCATCCATCTTCAGCCTACAGGCCTTGAGTCTCTCACACAGCTTTCAGTGAAGCAGGAAATTTTAAGGACTGTTCCACCCATTTTGGCAAAGTTCGTCAGTTGCTTCTCCTTGTGTCCTGTAGAATGTCTGGCAGTTTCTTTTGTGAAGCAGGAAAAGTCCAGTGGTCACCTTCCTATGGGTCCTGCATGTCCAGTTTATACAGCATCCTGTCAAGCAGTCGAGGCATGGGCAATTTTTTGCCCAGAGCTAACTTTTTGCCACAAAGAAAGCAAACGCCATAATGAGTTTCTTTGAAGTAATCAGTGTTGCCAGGAGCAGATGTGTTTCATTGTCCAAAAAGGTCTAAGTTTTTAAAACATTTTAAATGCCATATTCTGTAGGTCTTTGAAGTGTTTGAAGATTATCTATCTAGTTGAAATATATCTTTGTATACCTAAAAAACTAACATGACTATAAGTTTGATTATCATAGATGACTATTAATCTGTATTTCTTAATGATAATTTTAAATGAGTTGCATAAACATAATACCTGAAACAAGAAGAGAAATACACATACAGTATAACAAAATTGATCTTAAATTTGTATTAATAAACCATACCAATGTAATGTATTTTGAAATTAACAGGTTTTTTTTTTGGTTAAAGTAGATTCAGTAATTTACCTGTTTTTCTCATCATTTCTGTATCCTCTCTTCCTTTCTTCTTTTAGAAAGAAATTGACTATGACCAATAACAACTTGTAATCAAACCCCTAAACAAAGACAAACATCCATGGTCCATTTTTGGGGAATGTGGCGTAGTATTCTGGGCTACTTCCTGCTGATTAGGGGAGCTGTTAATCTTACAGGGATCCTGAGAGAATTCAAGATAAAGGTCAAGTCCTGGGAAGACTGTCTATAACCTTTGTTGATAGATACCATCTGTCAAGGTTCAGGAGGTCTTGCTTTATCATATTTGATCCATCTTAACCTGGAACAAATCCATAGCCTCTTGCTTCCTGTGGAAACAAAAGCAGAACCTCCTTTCCAAAGCAACATATTCTCAGACCCAAATTTTGTAGTCAAGATACCTTTAAAACATATATATATATATATATATATATATATATATATATATATATATATTTAACTTAGCAGCCTTTACAATCAAATGTCTCTCTGCAGTTAAAAATCCCAAAGGCAATATGATAATCTGCAGTATCCAGATTCTTTGTGTAATTTCCATCCTTCTGTGGCTTAACTTTTATATAATTCTTACTGTCTCTTTAAAGACTTTATTTTTTAAAACTATTTATTTCTTTATATAACTATATTCATTTTTCTCTCTTCCAAGCCTATGTATATTTTTTACACACACTGTAAACCATTTAAAGTTTTATTCCATCTGAATCTGCCTTATTGTGACTCTATAATCCTTTTCTGACCAGGAGAGATTTTAAACTGCTAAGCTGTGTGGCTAGGACCAACATGGCAGCCTTGGCTGCTGACTCTGCCCCTTTCGGCTTCCCAACATGGCAGAGGTACCCGAGAGAGTCAGGCTTACCCCACCAACTCTGCGGTCCATGCTGCCACCAGGCAGTGTGCAGCTTGCCCACAAACCTTTTTTGTCTGTATGAGTAAAAGCTAAATTCACCATGCAGCATGCTGTGCAGCTTGGAGACAGTTCTGTGTACTGAGGTGAGAATCTGCCATGCTGTGCTGCGGCATCTCTGTTCCATGGTCCACATGAGAGACACAAAAAGGAAGCTGTTTTTTGCTTCATTGTTGCGTGTTTAGAAGCCCTTTTTAAACTCTTTTAGGCCTTATGGAAATTCAAAAGCCCCAAGTTGGTACACCAAATGTAGTGAAAGATGTCCTGTGTCCCACTCGGCCTGTGGTAGGGACAAATCTCTCTCACCCATTGTCCCACAGCCACTTATAAAATAATCACTCAGAGGCTTAATACTAATTACAAACCGTATGGCCTATGGCAGGCTTCTTGCTAGCTAGCGCTTTCATCTTAAATTAATCTATGTATCACCACGTGTTCTGTGGCTTTACCTGCGTCCCATCACATGTTGCTCCTTGGACAGTGGTTTGGCGTCTCCCCGACTCTCCTTTTTCCTCTCACTGTCTCACTTGGATTTTCCACCTGGCTCCATCCTGCCCTGCCATAGACGAATGCAGCTTTATTTATCAACCAGTCAGAGCAACACATATTCACAGCATACGGAAAGACATTCCACAGCATGACACTTCAGAGCAATGAGCTTTTGTAGATAATTTTTTACCTAAATAGTTAGCTTTTGGGGGAGCTGGTGCAAATATTTTACATTTTAGTTTTCAATCCACTATTAGTATATAAAGTATTTGTGTGTTTATGTGGTGTATACATGTTCATGTGTCTGCAAGGTGCATGTGCCTGTATGTGGAAGCTAGAGGTCTTCCTCTATCATTCCCTATATTTATCTATATACATATTTGGAGGTAGGGTCTTGTTATGTAGCCTTGGCTGGCCTGGAACTCTCTATGTAGGCCAGGTTGGTCTTGAGCTCACAGAGATCTGCTTGCTTCTGTCTCCTGTGTGCTGAGATTAAAAGTATGTCCCACCACACTGGGCTTCACCTTTTTTTTTTTTTTTTTTTTTAAAGATTTATTTATTTATTATGTATACAGTGTTCTGTCTGCATATACACCTGCAGGCCAGAAGAGGGCACCAGATCTCATTACAGATGGTTGTGAGCCATTATGTGGTTGCTGGGAATTGAACTCAGGACCTTGGGAAGAACAGCCAGTGCTCTTAACCTCTGAGCCATCTCTCCAGCCCCCGGGCTTCACCTTTTATTAACAAGAATTCCTTGGCTTTATTTTGTGTATTGTGCACCACATGTGTGCCTGGTTCCTGTAGAGGTCAGAGGAGAGCATCAGATCCTCAGTAACTAGAATCAGATAGTTGTGAGCTGCCATGTGGGAATTGAACCCAGGTCCTCTGTAAGAGCATCAATGTTCTTAACTGTTGAACCAACTCTCATCCACCTTGGTTTTTGTTTTTTTTTTTTGGACAGGGTCTATCAGTGAATCTGGGGCTCACTGATTCAGTCAGACCACCTGGCTACTGAGCTCTAGGGGTCCCGCTGTCTCCACCTCTCCAGCCCTGGGATGCATGCCACCATGTTTGGCATTTTATGTGTGTACTGGCAGTCAAATCTAGGTGCTCATGCCTGCACGGCAGTGACTTTATCAGAGTCACCTCCCCAGAACAGCTGATGTTTTGTGTTGAGAGTTATGTTCTTTAACCCACCAGTTCTAGATTTGTTCTAACGGATTCCTTGGGTTTTCTGTATGGGCAGAAACTATCATTTCCACATATGCGAGAGTTTTTATGCTTGGGTTTTGTTCTCTTCTTCCTTTCCAATCTATATTACTCCCTCCCTCCCCACTTTTCCTGCCTCCACTGGCTAAGACTTCCTGTACGTCACTGAACAGGTATAGTGAGAGTGCACAGTCTGCCCTTAGTCACAGTCTTAAGGGAGGTACAGTCTTGGGGAAGCATTCAGCCTTTGATCACTCATGACTTTAGCTATAGGTTTTGACTAGGTCCTTTATCTTGCTGACGAAAGATGCTTTAACTACTAGTTTGGTGAAATTTATTTTTCATGGACATTTGATTTTTAGCAATGTTCTACATCAGCCAACTGTGTTGGTTTGAAAGAAAATGGGGTTGACACTATTAGGAGGTGTAGTCTTGTTGACGTAGGTCTGGCTTTGTGGAGGAAGTGTGTCACTGTGGGGATGGGCTTTGAGGTCTCATTTGTTAAGCTTTGTTTAGTGTGATACTCAGACTACTTCCTGTTGCCTGCCAGATGTAGGAATCTCAGCTACTTCTCCAGCACCAGGTTGGCCTGGTGATAATGGACTGAACCTCTGAACTATAAGTAAGCCACCGCAATTAAATGTTTCCCTTTCTAAGAGTTGTGGTCATGATGTCTCTTCACAGCAATAGAAACCCTAAGACAGCCAACATATTCATGTGTTCTTCTTTCTTTAGGATGTTAAAATAACAGATTATATTGACTTTCAAATATTAAGCCAGTCTTATACTTTCTAAAGCAAACATTGCTTGGCCATGATGTATCATATGTGTGCACATGTGTGTATATGTTATGTATACACACATACATACACATATGCACGCCTGAATGAATATTCAACTTCTTAATGGTGTGTTGGAGGTTTTGCTTGTCTTATAAGGGACAACGGCCTGCAGTGTTCTTGTAAAGCCTTTGCTTTGGGTCTCATGGTAACAATGACCTCCTAAAATGAGATGACACCTGAACTTCTTCATCGCTATTCAGCCCTCTTTACTTTAGTTTGGAATTTGTTGACTTCATTCAGTTCTGGTCATATTATCTCATAAAATTATAAATTTATACAATCTGTCATTATGTTCTTGTATTCTTCTACTGTCTGTGGGGAATGTGACAGAGGACAGAGATGTCCTGCTTTCCAGAATGGATGCTGATAACTTGTCATCAATCTTTGCTTTTGTCAGTTTGCCAGTTTTATTGTCCCAAGGAGGTATTTTTGGATATTTTCTCCATTGTTCTATTTTACTCATTTTTGTATTCTTTACTTCCCCCCTTCTGTTTCTTTGAGAGTATGTTGCTGGTGCATCCCAGATCTCACGTAACCCGGGCTGGCCATGAGCCTGCAGAACCAGGCTGGCCTCCACCTCCCAAGAGCTGAGTACATATGCGCTCCACCACATGCAACCCTTCAGGTCCCTTAAAGTGAAAGCTGAAGTTCTGTTGTTAAATGTATAAACAATCATAATTTTTAATTTTAAATTACATTTATTTATTGTTTGTTTGTATATGGGTGTGGGTGTGTGCCACAGCACACAAATGGAGATCCGAGAACAACTTTCAGGAATTGGTTCCCTTTCCACCGTGCAGGTCCTGGGGATTGAACTCGGGATGTCAGGCTTGGCAGCAGGGGCCTTTAGCCCCTTGAGCCATTTTGCTCACACAAAAACAGAATTCTTTTTTTCCCCTTTCCTTGTTTTGGTTTTTTGAGATAGGGTCTTTCTATTATGTAGCTCTGGCTGCCCTGGGAGTTGCTATGTAGACCAGGCTGGCCTCAAATTCACAGAGATCTGCCTGCCCCTACCTCCCGAGTGCTGGGATTAACGGCATGAGACACCATACTCAGCTAACAATTATAATTCTTAACGAACAAATTCCTTTATCCTTCTGAACTTGCACACACACACACACACACACACACACACACACGTGAGCCTTGCTGCGAGCTACACCTGCAGGCCTAGACTCTCCCCCGTCACTTTCTCTGGAGTCTTCTCTGTTTGACATTCTTTTCATGTGAGTTTGCATACGACATCTTTTCCTATTTAATTTCTATGTCATATTTGAAGTATGCTTTTTATTAGACAGCACATATGGTCATGGGTTATTTAGTTGGTACACTGAAGTCAGTTATATGTTACTGGGGTCAGTTACATGGTAATTTAATATTATTGTTACATATTTGGGCTAAGGCCAACAATTTTACCATTTGTTTTTGGTTTGAGGCCACTCATTCCTGTTTCTCTTATCTTGCCTTTATCTGAGCTCCTTAGTGTTCACTGTATCTCTTGAGATTTTACTACACCTCTGTCCAGTTCTAGTGGTTCCTGGAGGATCCCCTAGGGTAACTTTTCACTATCTACTGAGAAGCATGTATTACGACTGTAAGCTGAGCGTGAAGACCTCATCCCCTATATACCTTCTGAGCATAGGACGCCTCTAAGCATCAAAGCCCCATCAGACACTGCTGAGTTTTGCTCTTGAGGGAACTGTCTGAATTACCGTACATTCGCCAGTGCTGTGGCTTCCCCCCACCCCCACCTTAGTTCATCCCCTCACAGCGGTGTTTCTCCTTTGTTTAAAACTTTCTTCTGCAGTTTACAGAGCATGTCTTAGGCAACAGTTCCTTTCCATTCTCACCTGATGTTCACTTCACCTCAATCCTACAGGATTTTTGTGCTGCATGTAGAAATCTGGAGTGAGCTGGAGTTTTTATTTCTTTCAGCACTTTAAAAGATATTTTGCTACCTTCATAGTTTCTTAAGAAAAAAAAAAAAACCCACCACTGGGCCTGGGGAGACGGCTTAGTGGGTCACCTCTCCCACCCCCTTATATCTTACTGGCTCAAACTTGGCCTAGTGGCCTTGGGCCAGGGAAGCCCCAGGCAGTGATCTGTTTAGAATAGCACCTCATGTGACAAGAGGAATGGAATGTCCCATCAGGTGAGCAGATCAGAAATGATCTCTGAGTACATACAACGCAGTCTCTAGAACTCTAACTAGATGGCTGCTACGTAGCTGGAAGACACACACACACACACACACACACACACACACACACACACACACACTGCCCACAAGATTCAACTAACACAGCAGCAGAAATATTCAGACTTAAAAGGCTGAAGTTCCCAGATGAAATGAGGTAACTCTGTACCCGAAAATAAGAAACAAAATTCTAGGGCTGGACACGCGGCTCGGTGGCAGAGCACTTATGCATTCAGCCCCTAGGACCAGTCTTCCTCACAAATAAGTGAAATACAGAAAAACTCTACTAAGAGTAAACTGCTCACTAAAGTGTGTTCATAGACATTTCTGCTGAGATAACAGATGTTTATTGATGCTCATAATCTAATCAATGCCTAATGCCTGTACTTCCCTTTAATATCCTAATATAGCCTTTGAGATACTAGACTAGGCTGGCACAAAGCCATACTCAGTGTTCATACAATGGTGTTCACAGTACTATCTACTATTATTTCTTTTTATGTGCTCACTCTGCTGAAGGTGGGCAGTAAATAATTTAGTCAAAGTAATTTAAAATATTGCCCCCTGAGACTATATGGTCTTTATGCATTGCACTGACTCATTGGTGTCTTTGTGTCTCCTACATAGGGCTATATATCCCACTATTATGGTTGGTTTTAAAGTCAATTTGCCACAGATTACACATTACTCCCTTGAGTAGGGAGCCTCACCTGAAGAACCAGCATTTCCAGGCTTTCATCGTGGAATAGGGACCGGTGGTTATTCCAGAACCATCATATTCCTGGTACCAGATTGAGATTACTAAGGCTGACCTTGTGGACTAAGTGGCCATCGGGCACCCCCCACCCCAGTGAGAGACAGTTGGCACTACTCTGACTGTTGAAGCGCCCAGCCTCAGTCACGCTACGCTGGCGGCCACGGCAGAGAAACCCATAGCAAAGCCACTCAGAACTGGACGGCGTTCTTTAACTTCACTAGATTTCAGCACGATGATTGTTTAGGCGTGTTCTCTAGAGGAACAGAACCAAGGGGCAGAGATCAGGGCTGATCAGGTGAGCTTTAAAATAGGAACAACGGCAGATCATACCCGAGACACTGAGAACTCAGGATTTGGTCCGTGAGGCTGAGTGCTTCAACACTCAGAGATCTCCTGCCCTGCCTCCTGAGCACAGGGTACAGGAACGGGCCACCATGCGTGGTGAAACAATAGCACTCTTCCTGATTCTGGAAACTTGAAAACTGTGAAGAAAACTTAGTTGCTAGTGACAGAACTGAGGGAAGAGGCCCGGGCAAGTCACGACCGGAACAGCCAACTGTGCTAACGGTGGAACGACACCGCAGGATTACCCAAATGATCTGGCTTTAGAGACGGCTCCTGTGACTTTTTTCTCTGAGACATGGCAGTGCTTTAGTCCCCAGGATCTAGGTGGTGCCCTTCCTCTCTTACTGACTTGTGTTACCTGTAATAAGGCATCACTGCCGGGGACAATCTGGACAAGTCTTCACTGCTGGCACTCCTGGTCGCCACCTATCTGGGGGCAGGGATCTGTTTGCCTCCCTCACTGACGCCTGAGGACCAGACCACAGGTACTATGTTCTTCCTACCAGACACACCTAAGATAAAGAGCACACATTAGGCACAGTAAGATTAACAATAATAAAATAAAGCAAGTTCAACTCCATGCCACCCCACAAAAGCTAGGCAACTGTGATCTCTCTGTCCAAGTGCTAACCAGGCCTGGCCCTGCTTAGCTTCTGGGATCGGACAAGATCAGGTACATTCAGGGTGGTATGGCCACAGACTGGTCTCTCAAAACATAACGGACTGTACTGTACTCACTCGTCTTGTGGTATGAGGGGATACAACACTGATATGACGAGATCGAATGGGGGATGACTTAGCACTTATAACGAGCTGTGGTAATCCCTTGGTAGTTCAAGGTGACTACAAGTTCAACTCAGAGTGAACTCAAGCTCAATTTTGTAGCACAAAACTCTATTTCCTTCTTTACAGTTTGTTTGTTTTTCTGTGACAGGGCCTAACACAGCCCAGGCTGGAACTAACTGGGCAGGGAAGATGACCTTCAACTCCTGATCCTCCTGCCTCCACTTACCAAGTACTGTGCTGTCCTGCATGAACCATCATGCCTAGCCTTTACAATTTCAGACAAAAGACTTGTGCTTTAGTAACTTGGGCACACAGTGTTTTTCTTTCCTTACAAAGTCAAGAGTTTTTGTCTTATCACTTCAAGGAAGCACACCATGGCTTCTCTTCACCATATTCAAATTGTCAGAATGACTACTGATGAACACCGGGGCCACTGCTAAGCAGATCTTAAACACAGGCACTTACGGCACCTTAGCTGATGATAACCCAGACAGACAAAGAGATGGAGGCAAACCCGAAGAAGGCCTCCCTTCATTCTCTTTCAGTGACTTGTTCTAGGTTGACTTTAAGGTCAGGAATGGAGGCGCATGGCACCTTCCAGCACTCCGGAGGCAGAGGCAAGTGAATTGCAAGTTTCAGGATAGCCTCGGCTATCCTTGTCTCAAAAAGATCACTAATTTTAAGATGGCAAACATTGTAGCTTCCATAATTGGGAGACTGGGAGGTAGGCAAATGGCTAGTTGAGTAACAGAGCTAACTAAGGGAAAACAGCATCTGGATCGTGGACGTGCAGGATGAAGGGATGATTCACAACCTGTGAAGGATGGGGCAGGAGGCAGGAGATTCTGCCATGCTATGCAGAATGGTGCATAATTTACAACTTACAAATCATTTATTTCTGGAACTTTCGATTTAATATTCCAGACTGAGTTGAGCGTGGGAAATGAAACCACATACAGTGAAATGTAGATGAAAGGGTCCGACTATATACAGCAGAGTGAACATTTAGTCTTCCCAGAAAAAGGAAGAGAGACTCTGAAAGAATTTAGTAATCTTGAGGCTGTCATTTCTGAGCCCTGGGACAAGGAGACTTCGTCTAGTTTTCAGAAGGCAGGGCCTGCAGAGGGCCGCGAGGCCTTTGCAGGGGCCTGCATGAGCTGGCTTAAGTTTACTGCTCAAAGACAGTGCAAAATGGGTGGATGCAGGGACCAGGTCATGATGTTGAAGTACTCGAAAATGTCACCTTGAGCTGTGGAATCTGAGGCCTCTGTGTAGAGGAAATTCTTCTCTGGCTGTGCTCTGGATGGTTATTGAGTGTTCCTAAGCGTAATAAGCAGGAAAAGGGCTGGTTTCACCAGTCAGTATATGACTTCCATCTGATCAGCTTTTGTTTACGTTGTAAAACCCAGGCCTTCTAATTTAAATCCCCACCAAATGTACCTTCTTTCTCCCAGAACTGGAGCTGTCTTGAAACCAGAAACCTAAGTACAGACTTTCAATCAAACATCTGGTCTTCCCTTCTATACCCTTCCACTGATGTGGTACCTCCAGTTTATGAGCCTTTCTGCAGTTGTAAAGTGTAAGCTGTTACCCTCACCCAACTCTCAAGTACTGGGAAATTAACACATGGCCCTGCACATAATAGTTAAGTGCTCTGCTGATGGCCCTTTAAGATTTTATTTTTACACAGGATCTAAGTTGCCCAACTGGTCTTGAATTTGTCATTCTTTTGCTCAGTCTCCAGAGCAGTTTGGGAACACAGGCCTATACCACCCTACCCAGCCTAAATTCTTTACTTCTGACAGCCCGGTGTATTGTGGGACATTTGTACACTGTGTGAAGATGTACTGCTGGGACTGGTGTAATAAAAAGCTGAGCAGCCAATTGCTAGGCAGGAGGTATAGACAGGACTTCCGGGCAGAGAGAGAACTCTGGGAAGAGGTGGAGTCACCGGCCAGACACAGAGGATGCAGTATGGGAAGCACAGAGAGATGAGGTAACAAGCCACACAACAGAACGTAGATTAAAGTAAATGGGTCAATTTAAGTTATAAGAGCCAGTGGGACAAACTTAAGCTAAGGCTGAGCTTTCATAATTAATAATAAGTCTCCATGTCATTATTTGTGAGCTGGTAGCCCAAAGAAAAATCTGTCTACACCTTTGCACTCTGCTTAGATCCCCTTTCTTTTTTCCAGTAAGACTATTTTAACATCTCTCATCCACTGCCGTCTCTTCCCCACTCTTGGGGCTTGAGGGCTTTGCATTTTCTCAGTTTAGACAGCTTTCACAGGAAACAAACCCATGTTTAAGTGTCTCAACTGATTCATTTTTTAAATTGAGAATTTTGGCTGGTGAGGTGGCTCAGCAGCTCAGGTATCTGCCACCAATCTTGACAAGTGACCCAAATCCAATATCCAGAATGTGCATGGTGGAAGGACGGAATCAAATCCTGAAAGCTGTCCTCTGATGAACACACACGTGTGCCTAGAAACAAGTGTCAAAGGGCTATTTTAAAATCTATGACATAACTACAGAGTATTTAACATGAACAATGTTCATAATATATTCCTTTCTTTTCAGTATCTTTGGTTTTCCTGGTTGAAAAGGAAAAAATATATTTTAGGGCTTTTTTTCCCCCAAAAAAGTAAAGCATGTTCATTTGATGATAATCCAAATGATAATCAAGTGAGGCCCTCATAAACCTTAGCCTCCAAACAGGCTGGCTTCTGCTCCTCTATCAAATATGTCATTTACTGATTCCATATCAATAAAAATATGATGAAAAACCCAGGATAACACTAAGATATTAATAGATGTTAACTCTGGACAGGGGGATTCATGATTTCTCCTTACAAGCACTTTCTTATATTTCTGTTCCCCACTACTTCTTAGTCATTGTGTATGAGGGTGTGGACAGAGGGGATAAACTTCAGGAGCTGCTTCTCTTACTCCACACCCGGAACCTGGGCCTTGAACTCAGGGGGTCAGGCTCGGCAGCAAGGCAATCACCACTGGGTGATGTCACTCATCCTTTAACTAAACATACTATTATTATTATTTTTAACAATTTTAGAAAAGTAGCCCTCATAATCTAAAAACAATGTGTGTGTGTCTGAGCCCGAGAGCGACTGCCCTGGGACTCACTCGTGTTACAGTGGTTTCCAGCTGCCCTTCGGAGCCGTCCCACGTGGGTGCCAGGAACCAGACTGGTGCTAAGAGCAAGAAGCACTGCTAACCACTGAGCCATCTCTCCACTCCGCAAAACCTCGTCATCTGAAATTAAAAGGCTTGGGCTTAAAATACACACTAGCTGGTAGAACCTGTCTTTTTCTCATTAAACAATTCAAGAATGATGGAGTTAAAGGTTCTGATGTCTACAAATAAGAGATCTTAAAATTCTCATTATGGCTAAATGGGTAAATATAATTTAAGTATAAAGTTTTCATCAGTTATATAATTAATGCTAAACCAGATGAGGACATAAGCTTCAAGCATTTCATAAATGAGCATCCTCTAGTTTGTTTGTTTGTTTTTTGTTTTGTTTTTTCCTTTGCTCATTATTTAACTAGTTGGTCTGGAAATGTCTGACCTGAAGTCTTACGTGGCTTCCAGGCACCCGAAGTTTTATTCTCCCCAAACTTTGTGATTCTTATCTGCTGTCTGAAACTATAAACAATCTAGTTTTATGTCAAACTTACTAATTAATCCCTTTAAAGTTTTTTAGTCAAAGAAAACAGTATAATTTCGTTGCTTTACTTCAATTTTTTTCCCCTGTTGGGGATTGAACACAGAGCCTTTAACCTGGATGCAGACAGCTCTGTCACTGAGCTAACACCACAAGCCACAGACTGTTAACACCCCGCATCTATCTCACTTCAGCCGGGCGTGGCCGCACAAGGCTGTAATTGTGCACTCAAGAAACCGAGGTCGACAGCAGGCCAAGTTCCAGGCCGAGCTGGGTTACACAGAAATAAGCCCCGTCTCAAAAACAGATCCATCAGCATTTCTACTCAAACGTCGGACTAACGCCTCAAAGCCCACCCGTCCGTTTTGAACGGTAACCCTCCCAGAGCTGGTGATGCAACTTCATCCCAACAGAGCTCGGTTGGCCCAGTTGGCTTTCCAGCAGTCCGGGGTCTGGCCGGAGCTCTCCCCCCGGTGCTCCGGGCCATCAGGGGCCGCCTGCAGGCCCCGACCCCGCCTCCCCCGGCCCGCGTGCCCCGGGGCCCCGCAGCGAGGACGCGGACGCCCGGGGCGGTCACACCGGTCGCCGCCCTGACTCGGTCACGGCTCACACACCCCGCCTTCCCCCGGCCCGCGTGCCCCGGGGCCCCGCAGCGAGGACGCGGACGCCCGGGGCGGTCACACCGGTCGCCGCCCTGACTCGGTCGCGGCTCACACACCCCGCCCCGACCTGGCCGGGCCGCTCTGCGCACGCGCACAGCCGCTGAAGCGGCCGCTCTAGGCACGCCGCGTCCTCCCGCCTCGTTGGCAGGGGCGTTCACGCCGCCCGCCCGGGCCGCTGGAGCGGGAAGGCTGTCCCCGGTGTGTCCCCACGCTCTCCTCACACCTCCTCCGCGCAAACACGGCGCAGGATGCGCTCCCTCGAGCGGGACGCGGGGCCGCTCTTCCCCAGAAGGCTAACCACCCCCCCCTCGGCGGCCACGGCCTCCGCCCGTGGCCCACAATCCCCCGGCGCGGCGCGGGGGCGTGCTTCCGGTGGCGGGGCTCGGAGCCCTTCACCTTTCCTGCGCCGGGAACGGTCCCGGCGACGCTCCGCCCTCTGCAGATTAATAGTTCTTCCCATCGCCTCGTCGGAAGAATAATGCACTAAAAAAATTCCGGTTTGTTACCCTAGCAGCCTTCCAAAAGCACACAATTATATCCAAAATATTTAAGCAAAAAAAAAAAAAAAAGTCGGGAATGGTTGAGGCAGGAGGATTGCAGTGAGGAATCCAGCCTGGGCTAGGTAGCGAGACTGTCTCAAAAACCACGGAGGGGGAAAACAATGAAATGGAGTAATCCCTACTTTAGGGAGGCGGAGGTAGGATCAGTGTTAGCTGGAGGCGGGCCTGGGCTACCTAGGGTGGTCCCGTCCACTTGGGAGGGGCAAGAAACTCAACCCACGGGCAGGAGAGTATTGCCTCCCTGCTATCTGTGTAAATGCAGAGCTTTCAGATATGCACAAAGAGGTGTTTGGTGCATGTTTCTCTGGGTCTTATAAACATTTAAAATGGGTGTTTGTCTCTTTTAATTGTTTGAAGAATCCCTAGTTAGTGGACATTTAAGATATTTACAGTGTTTCATTTCTACAAGCTTGATAGGTTGCTAGGTCAAAGGGAGCACACATTTGTGAGATTCTGAATGTTAACAGTCTCCCTGGAAGTGTTTTTATTAAAGTACATTTTCCAAGAAGAATATGAGAATGCTGTGAGCACCTCATTCCATTACTAGTCAGTCTTTTAAAAGGCTCTGGTGTAAATTCGTATCCTGACACCTACGTATAAACTGAATGTTTTCCGTATGTTTACTGGTTTTGTGAATTGCTGGCTTATAATTTCTGTTTTTTAAATTTGAAGTATTCACATTTTAAAAATCTACAGTGCTTTTGTGTATTAGCAATATTAACTTTTATTTAAATGTTGCAAAAATTGCTTGGTTATGAAGTTAATCTTCTAAGATAGCCAGTAAGGTCTGGTTTGTGAAGGGCGGCTTTGACTTTTGTGTGTCTGTCAGCCTTCTGTTTCCACCTTAACTTCCTGCTTAACTTGTTGCGTTTCCTTGTACAGTTGCAGGGGTTTTAATATACATGTGCACACCATTTACTCCATCTGAAATGTGCTTAAAAGGAGCAAGATTAACCGGGCGGTGGTGGCACATGCCTTTAATCCCAGCACTGGGGAGGCAGAGGCAGGCGGATCTTTGAGTTTGAGGCCAGCCTGGTCTACAGAGCGAATTCTAAGACAGACAGACAAGGCTACACAGAGAAACCCGTTTCAAAAAACTAAAATTTAAAAAAAAAAGAAAAGAAAAACAAACTCTCTCACTGGCCCTGTTTAATGTAGCTCTATTTTTAAGATTTTAGTGGTGTGCATCCCTGGGTAACAGGTGTAGTGGCCGCACTTCCCAGCACTTGGGAAGCAGAGGTAGGTGGATCTTCTTGAGTTCAAGGCCAGCCTGGTCTAAGAAGTTCCAGGACAGCCAGGGCTATGTGTGGGACCCAAGAGTTACAATTCTGATTGGCATTTGCATTAGTTACTTTTCTCTGTGCTGTGATCCTTACGGGAAGCAATTTACGGGAAGAAAGGCTTATTTCAGGTTGTATTGTTTGGATTATTTTGAAACTATTATTATTTTGTTTTTATTTTTATTACTGTTTGTATTTATTATTTGTATAATTTATTTAATTTTATATTTATTTTATTATATATAATATAAACATTAATTTTTATAATTATATAAATAATGACAATTACTTAATTGTTATTAGAATTACTATTTTGAAGGGATACAGTCCATAAAGGTGGGGAAGGCATGTAGTAGGAATGGGAGGCAGCTGCTCACATGACATATGCAACCAGGAAGCTGAGACGTGAATGCTGGTCTCAGCTTCCTTTCTTCTTTTTGTTCAGTCTGGGTCCTCAGCCACCATGTTTCAGGTGGGTCCTCCTACTTCAGCAACTCAATCTAGAAGACCCTCACTGCTGACATGCCCAGAGCTTGTCTCTTTCAAGTTGACAATATTAACTATCACAAGTTGATCCCTTATCAACCTGACAGCCATATAACTTTTAAAAAACTTTTATTTGTGTTCATTGGTGTTTTGCCTGCATGTATATCTGAATGAGGGTGTTGGGGTTACAGACAGTTGTGAGCTGCGTGTGGGTTCTGGGAATTGAACCCGGTTCCTCCAGAAGAAGAGCCAGTGCTCTTAACTGCTGAGTCGTCTCTCCAGCCCCCAAATAGATAACTTTCATGTCATGACTTTTCAACCCCTGCGGCACTGACTCTTTGCCGTCTCATAATGCTAAAGGCATTCAGTCCAGCTTTGCCTTCCACAAAGTGGAATCCTCCATGACTGCCCCCAAGACACTTTTCTAGCTATCCCAGTGAAGAGCTCCAGGTTTCTTTAATTGCACTAATCTCTTTAACAATTATGGGACTTTCAGACAGAGTGTGTGTGTAATTTTAAACTTGCTCACACTTGCTCCGGATTTTGCTCTATATGAAGATTCAGACGAGCAGCAAACAGCACCCGTGATACAGCATGGATACAAGCTTGTTTTGAGATTTCTTCCACCAAAACATTCGCCAGTTGCTTTTGAATTTGTGTCAATCAGGTTCTCAGGATGTGGGCAGAATGTAGTCCGTATCCTCAAAAACCTCGGGAGCTGATCTCCACCGTCACATTTCCCTTGGCAGTCTGGTCTTCCAGAGTCCGTGAAAGTGCCCCAGTATGTTCTGCTTACAGGATTCTACAGATCTTCTAGGCCAAAGTTCTAAATACTTCTACACTCCTCCTACAAACCATTTGCATTGGCCTAAGAACCACATAATCACGGTTACTCCAGCAACAGCCCCACTTGTAAGTACCTGCGTGTCAGAACAGGGTCCAAGAATGGAGCTGTGGGAGAACTCGGAGTGTTTGTGAGAAAACGTCAAGAAAACAGGAGTCTGTCGCCTTAGTTCTTCAAACCATGGAACTGTTGTTGCAATTGTTTTCATTCTCCTCCCGGGTGTAGCAGACGGGAGTGCGTTTACTTCCGATTATTCACCACAAGTGGCTATTGTTATTTGTATATATGCCTCTATGGAAAAACAGGTTTTTGCTACGTGCAGCTTGCGTTTGTACACTTTACTCATGTGATTCTTCCAACCCTCAGAGTATAAATTGTCTGATGCTCTGAATGAAGTTGGCTATTGCATGAGATGTTAGTCTGCCTCATTTATTGACTCTACTCTCCCAGCCCCACCCCCCCAGCGGTGACACCAGCTTTCTGTCTAGTGTTCTCTCCCTTGCCGTGATGAGACACCTGGCAAAGGCGAGTCATGGGGTAAAGGATTTACGTGTAGTTTTAGTGCACAGTCCGGGGTAAAGGATTTACGTGTAGTTTTAGTGCACAGTCCGCTGTGGAGGTGAAGTCACGGGGTAAAGGATTTTCTGATAGTTTTAGTGCACAGTTCGCTGTAGAAGTGAAGTCACGGGGTAAATGATTTACATGTAGTTTTAGTGCACAGTCCGCTGTGGAGGTGAAGTCTTGGCCGCAGCAGCAGGAGGCTTCGTTGCATCTGTGTTCACAGAAGAGAGCTATGAGTGGATGCTGG